GGGTGACATTTTCAAAGGAGGGAAATTGTAATAGCTTGTATTCTGTCCAAGATAAATGATTTTATTAAAACCTTTTTAAATCATTTTCTTTTCTTTGTTCGGTTAATAGAGATCTCTTATAGAAAATTTGAGAGAAAAGTAAGGAGAGAAAAAGAAACCTAATTAAGGTTTGGAGGTCGTGGAGAGATTTTTTACGGTCGGTCCTGAAGGGAGATTTGCTCGTCTCGCAATAAAAATTAATTATCAAATCTCTGATTTTAATAGCTTTATATTTTTCAATCAAATTTGTATTTCTGTTAGTAAAAAATGAGGATAAATTTTTATTAATAAAATTTTCATCGCATAACTATTGGTGTGTGATAGATCTAATCAATATAAATATTTTAAAAGAAATATATTACATTTTCATCGGTTTAATAGGAAGAAATGATTTTTTGAAGTAAATGCATATTAGATAAGTTTGATAATTTTTTCTGCATTTTATGATTTACTCCATTTAATACATGACATTAACAAAAATATAGAATTTGCATGTAAGGGAGGCTAGATGGAAGGATATTTGTTAATGTGAAGGATGAAGATCGATAATAATTGATTGACAGTTGGGTGTAATAATCGTATGTCTTATAATTTTATAGATTTTTATTGATTTTATTGACCATATTAATTTTATTATTAATTTTTAAGATTTTTATTGTTCATATTAAGCGATGATTGATATTGGCTAGAATAAAAACACATATTGATTTTTTTGTCTTGTATTGAAAATAGTGTTAGAGTTTTACTTTTTTGCTAGACTTTTTAGTTCATTATGTGTATTTTAATAATTTTAGATTAGAGAAGGAGTTAAAATCATGAGTATTAATAGTGATAATGATCTTCAATTTTTTTAGATTTTGTTTTATATTTTATTTTATTTTATTATAGTTAGGAGCTTGTGATATATTAGTATTGATTGTGGCGATCTCTTTACTAGTGTAAATAATATTTTGATGAATGAATGTTAAAACATCTTGATGTATATGATTTTAGTTGCTTTCGCCACTTATTATTTATATTGATAATTTATAGAAGTTTTATTATATTTTTAAATGATAAATAGACAATTCTTTCAAATTTGATTATGATCATTACACAATATGTGTGTGGTCAATGATGGGAGGTTCATCAGGAGATGATGTGTCCCTTGTGGTATATTTATTGTATTCGATTGAGTCAAATGGGTCTTCTTGAGAAATAGGTAAAATAAGTATGGAGAAAGGGTCAGTAATATCATCTTTCTCGGTAACCAAATGGAAAGGAAAGTGATTTTTATGAAATATAACATCTTGAGAGATGAAGATTTGTTTGCTATAAATGTCATAGATTTTCTATCCTTTAATTCTTAGTGAATAACCTAGGAAGGCGTCGATGCGAGCCCGAGGGTGAAATTTATCTCTGGGAATGGGTGAAGTAGAGGCAAAGGCTAAACATCTAGATACATAAAAATGATTGTAATTAACATGTTATTTATTAAAAGTTCATAAGGGGTCTTGCCATGTAACAAGGGGGATGGGATGCGATTGATTATATAGGTTGCAGATAAAATATATTCTTTCCAAAATCATATAGGAACATGAGATTGGAAGTATAAAGCTCGTGCCACATTTAGAAGATATTGGTGTTTACGTTCCACAACACAGTTTTGTAGTAGATGATGAATGCATGAGTTTTGATGTAAAATCTTGAGATTAGCAAATAATTCATTGAATTGAAGATCTTCAGCATTATCAGATCTGAATGATTTGATTTTATAGTTAAATTGAGTGTTAAACATGGTAATAAATTTAGGAATTATGTGGGAGATATTAGATTTATTTTTGAAAAGATAAAGCCACGTAAATATGGTACTATCTTCAACAAGAGTTAAAAAATAATGGTGGCCTATGTGATGAGTGCGAAAGGGTCCCCATATTTCACAGTCTATAAGATCAGAAGGATTTTTGGTGATATGTTATAAAAAGGAAATTATAGTCTATTTTGTTTAGCTAAAAGGCAAATGTAACAATGATTCATTTTATTAAGATTGGGCATAATACAATTTATTTGCTTGCTAATTTTGTAAAACTTTTTATTTGAAAGATGTCCTAGACAACTATGTCTAATGTCAAAAGAAACATTATTTGAAAAGCTTTAGTATAAGAAATACTAGAATAAAAATATATAAATATTGGTGTCTTTCACCCTTGCCAATCATCTTCTCTTGGTTGGTGTCCTGCATCACAAAATGATTAGCAAAAAACATTAAAATGTTCATGTGTTAGGAGGGAGCCAATGGATAGCAAATTAAAGCAAAAAAAGTGGGATGAAATATACGTTGTGGAGAATTAAGTCATTCTTTATTTTAATTTCTCCTTTATAGTTGACCAAACATTTTGTTTTATTAGAAAGTCTTATAATAGTGTTGTTGGTAGGGGTTAATTGCGCGAACATTTCAGCTCAAGGACAAATATGCACAATGCTCTCGAATCAATCACCTAACAATTTTTTGCAATTAGTCTAGAGAAAGGTAGAGATATACCTGCAGAATTGGTAATGTTTGTAACACGTATCGACAAAGTTGTTGGATTATCATTTGTGCTGGAAGAAGTATGTAGGAATTGGGAGAACTTAGTGAGAAGGTGATGCACTTGCTTATTATCTGGATTAGCACATGAGTCATTGATTTAGATGACTTTGTCCATGGTAGCAACATTCATTGTATTTGTATTGTTAGGCATCTCGTTGTTGTGAGAATATTTGAATAGTTTGTGTCTTGGAGGGTAACCATGGATCTTATAGCAATGTTCTTTTGTATGCTCGTGAAATTTGCAATAGGTATAGTATGGAAGTTCTTTCCTTGTGGTTTTATCATATCAAGGTTTAGAAGTTCCAATCTGTTTAATGATAAATGAAGTATCCTCACTTATGATAATATTAGAAATCTGTTGGCTAAGGCTTTTCTTTTTCTCTTTTTGAGATAGGATGGCGTTGGCTAATGGAAGATATAGGGTCCATTTTGGAGGGTAACCATGGATCTTATAGCAATGTTCTTTTGTATGCTCGTGAAATTTGCAATAGGTATAGTATGGAAGTTCTTTCATTGTGGTTTTATCATATCAAGGTTTAGAAGTTCTAATCTGTTTAATGATAAATGAAGTATCCTCACTTATGATAATATTAGAAATCTGTTGGCTAAGGCTTTTCTTTTTCTCTTTTTGAGATAGGATGGCGTTGGCTAATGGAAGATATAGGGTCCATAAGCAAGATCTAGCATCATACCTATGCGAAAGATTCCTTAAGGCCCATGAGAAGAGACATAACATACTTCATTTAGTGACGGGCTTGAAGTTTCTTCACACATCTGCAGCTACAGTTTTCGCAAGAACATATGGTGGCAGTAATCGTTTAATTCTTCCCATAGGGCCTTCAATTTTATGAAATAAAGACTGACACTTTGTTGTTCCTATCAGAAATTTATTAGCTCGTGGTGTAATTGAAAGATCTTTGGACCATTATTTTTTTCGAAACAATATCTAAGATATGTGTAAACCTCTATTACAGTTTTTGAATAAAGAAGGCTACCTGTGATTTCTTTAAACACAAAATTGAGGATCCATGAGATAATAATGTGGTTATTGCGATTCGAGACATTAAGGAGAGAATGGTTAGTACCGTTTGGGTGATCGATTGAGCTGTCCATGAATCCTTCCTTAATTTAGTCGAGAGTGCAATGGATATTGCTCGGTTCCAAGATCCATAGATTTCCCCCATCAAGATTTGAGAGAAGAGGGTGAGGTTGGGGTTATCAGAGTGATGTATGTAAAAGGGTTGAGAAGATCTTTTATTATGACCTCATTAACATCAAAGGAATGTTTGAGTGTGCCATCAGAGATGATCTTGAGGACAAAAAAGGTTGTGGTGGAGGGCTATCTATGATGAGGTTTTTTTTTTCTCAAACACTTGGATCACTGTTCTAGCTATCAATTGTACAATGAAGGCCCTCACTAATACAGATGAGAGATCAGAGTTGCGGAATCAGATAGATGGCTCGAAATCAAGAAGATTAGAATATCTGTGATGAAATACAAGAAGGCGCACTGCTCTGCCTGTGACAAATACGTACAGGAAGTTTGATCAAACAAGAAAGGCTAAATGAAGGGTCTGTTGTCAACACAACTGTCTGCAATGATAAATGCATGGAAGCGAAATCTAGCAAATAGAGGTTCTTCAGCTGGTTGACGACATAGGAGTTGACGATTGCTCTTATCGCACCTTTGAGTCTGGATCGAATGTAAGAAAGCCAGCGGAGCCGACTGCAAGAAGATGAGAAGGGAGGAAGCAAAGTGGGGTAGATGTGATACCATTTCAGAAAAGACAAATGAAATAGACGAACCATACAAGAGAAACGAGAAAGAAAATTTTCTTATTCTATAGTGGAGAGTACAAGATAATGAATAAAGAGTACTTTAATTAAATTGATAAAGAAGGTGACCCGGTTCAATGTAACCCAAGAGGTAAGAAAAATAAGTATATGTCTTGACATATTACAACAAAGTCACACACATATCACATGCACAAGACTCAAACTCAAGATCTCTTGATTGATAGCCAAAGCTCCCAATAAACAGACCAAAGTGATGTGCGTGCTCTCGAAAAATTAGATCTTATTCAATTATACTCAAGAATTCTAAAAATTTAATGCAGTGAAAAACTCTGTGGCAAGTAAACTACAAAAGTATTGTTATCATAATTTTATTTTAATTTTAATGTGCACAACTATGTATTGTTGTCTACCCTTTGTGTATTTAATTGTATTCGATTTATATTAAAATAAATGAAATGCATTAATTAATACATAATTATGTATTTTAATAATTTATAAATAAAATATTTTTCTTATGGCATTATAATTTTTTGAGAGGATTTTATGGTGCATGTTCTAGCTAACTTCTGGGCTAGGGATTAAAAGCAACTTGTAGCCCAGTTGGCCTTTGCTCCGTGGGCCGCCTGCTTCCGTACAACCTTTCAAGCCCGTCATCTGCTTCTTGCCGCTTGTAGACCGTCCGAATCTCCGGCCAGCGAGCTCGAATCTTCCGAAATCTCGTCGCGGGAATTTCATGGCCGGAGTTCTCGGCTCCTGCTCATCTCCGCTCATCCGGCCTCTTCAGCGTCGCCATTCACCCCGCCGATGCTTTATGGTTTCCGCTGAGCTCAGTGAGAGCTCTGCTCCATCTCCTTCCTCCGCTGTAGTAGAGGGTGAGGGTGGAAGTTCATCATCCTCGGCGACGTTTCCGTCGTCTCCTCCGCCTTCGTTTTCGCCTGCTGCGGGCTTTAAGCCGCCGCAACCAAAGCCGTTTTCCGTTCGCTCGGATAAGTTTCTGGACATACTCGGAGCTTCTCTCGCTCTGCCATTTCGTCTCGGCACTGGTGCTTTCGTTCAAGGGTTTGGAAACTGTCTTTTTTCGCTAATTATACATGCGTACTTTTCATTTTTTTGCAACTTTATCGGCATGTAAAAGGATAGAGATGAACAAGAACGTTGTTCTACTCAATATTGCTAATTTCACTTTGTTTCACTCGGGACAAGGGTTCTGTTTTTCATATTTTTGCTTCCTAAGGGTGTAAATTAGTTGAACATGAACAAATTAGGGTTTTGTTCGGCATGCTTCGTTAACCATTGCGCCAATTCGAGGGACCTTAAATTTGTCAATGGGCCAAAAAAATCGTTTTTCATGTTCATCTTGTTATTATTGAGCTAAATAAAAACAGCAAGCAAAATCAATAAACATCAGTTGCATCAAAAAACATTTTTTTGTTTCGGATTGATAATTTTACATGTCTGAAAAAATATTTGCAACTTTCCATAGTTAAACATTTTTTGGCAATGCAAAATTTAAAACATGCTTTTTTTGTAATTATGGAAGTATATTCAATAGTTTTTAAAAAAGAAATAGTGAAAATGATATTTACTTTTTTTTTGTTATATTGAGCTCTTTTCTAGCCAAACAATGAATGATTGAAATAATACTTTTACTCATTTATTAAACACATTGAAAAATGTTGATCAGATTCTTCTTGCTCGCTACAAACTAATTAATAAAATGAACTTTTATTGAGCTAAACAAGAACAGCTCACAAACATCAAGCTTTTTTTGAAGTTCTACTGTTGACCACATCTGCTTCTTTGAATGACAAAAGTAGTTTTAGGATGTTTGGAAAATATCCACGAGTAAAAGTTTAGTTATATGAAGGCTATAAGCACTCTTAGAATGGTAGTTTAGGTAGCTCCTAGAAAAAATCTTTTATGTATTTTACCTTTCTTGTCTACTTGATTAAGTATTTGATTAATTTATTTTTTAATATACTAATTAGATTAGGAAATTATATATGATTATATGAAAAATATTTTAGTAATTATTTCAATCATTCAATCAACTCATATCAACATTACAACAATATTTTACCAATCACAACTCTTATAACACTTTAGAAAACAATCTTAATATGATTTTACAAGTGCAACATAGCACAATGAGCTCAATGCACCAATGCCAAATGAAGCCTTAACTGCACTTCCATACTAATGCTTATTATTTTCATTTGGTTTATGTATAACATTACAACAATATGATTTTACTTCCTAGAAAAGCATTTTTATGTATTTTAGCTTTTTTACCTAATACATAAATAAATCAATTATCTTGATTACTTATATATTTATTGAATTTATTTTTTGTTAATAATTGTATGGAATTCATAATAATATTTATTTTGGTTATCCAACTAAGTCATATTAATTTAACAATAATATCTTACCAAAAAATAACTCTTACAACACTCTAGGTAAGAATCTTTAATAGAATTTTACCAGAAGCACAGCTCAAGATTACAATTCCAACTCTAGATTACAATCTCTAATATGATTTACCTAATAATCATTTGCAATATATGACAGCATAGCACAACACAAGACAACAATTCTCCATAGAGCCTTATGTCTCTCAAAATATTTGTAGAATTGGAGCAGTTTTCTTTGATTTAGCAGGATGTTTTCTTATTATTTCCTTATGGTAGGGGCCAATAATATGTTAAAAAACCTTCCATGCATAATTTTTCGTGATGCATTTGAGGATCTTGATATGCAATTTGCAGCTATTCAGCATCTTTAGTGTCGAAGGATCAAATTCCCCCAAATGAGTATGCTTTGAGCATTGCAGGTAAATAACAAATTCATTTCGTATACTTTTATTTTTTTTTCTAAGTTATTTAACAAGCTCATAACATAAATTCTAGCACGTTTCTTACTGTGAATGTTATCAAATTGATAGATATAGATTCAGCGCAATTTTTTTTGTTTTTTTGTAAATAACAATTTCTTCTGTTCTCCTTGGACATTTCAATTATAAGGTAGCCTAGAATAAGATTGTAGGGTTTCTTTTTTTTTTATACCACATAAAACTAGTCCAATTATCTATAGCACCCCCAAATCCAAAAAAAAAAAACCACCACCCAAAATTTCTATCACTTGAAACCATGACATTATTGTAAGTTTCAATTGAAGTCTCTCATAACGTCATGACAAGTCCAACACATCTGCCATTTCATCTTCTTGTCCACCCATCTCCTCTCCTTTATCTATGCCATTGTGGGCAGTTTGAACTCAGCAGCAGCTGGGTGATGAGTGGCTTGGAAACAGCTTGCCATGGAATCATTGTCAATTGGATGGGAAAGGGCAGAAGAATGGGTGGATGAAATAGGCCAGTGGACATATTAGCCAAACATGGTTAACCCATGTGTTGAATTAAGTTTGGCGTGCTAGTTCTGTGAGAATAAATGGGTGCTGTACCTGTAATTGTTATGGATCTTGGTTTCAAATATTTAAATGGGTTGGTTTTAGCTGGTATACTAGGATATATATATTTAAGGTGCTAAATGTTGGCCATTAAAAGAGTAGCATAATATTAAGTTAAGTGTTGCAGAGATGATTAAAAAAAAGTGTTGCAGAGATGAGGATGCTCAGGTGGATGAGTGACTTTACTCTTTAGAGACAGGATACGATATGAGCATATACGTGAAAATGTTGGAGTAGCTCCAGTGGAAGATAAGATTAGAGAGAGTCGCCTTAGATGTTTTGGTCGCATAAAATGGCAGCCTTCCGATGACACAGTTAGGAAAGTAGATGTATTAGATTTGACTTATGTTAAGAAGGATAGAGGTAGACTTAAAAGGACTTGGTAAAAATAAATTAGAAATGAGCTTTCTTTCTTATTAGATTTAAATGACAATTTAACTTTTTAAAGGGCACAATAGAGAAAGATTCATGTAGCATGACCACATAATGGGGTAAAGTTTGATGTTGTTTGTTGTTGGTGTGTGTTGTATATATATATTATATATATATATATATATATATTATATATATATACTTTAATGTCGCAGACCCTCAATATTGCATATATATAATGCTTACCATTGAGATGTCGAAAGCTGATCATTCAATTCCAATATAGCAAATAGCTTCACCAAATTTGGGCATTGCTTAGCTAATGTTTATCTATACAATTGACCAAATTTGTTTAGGGTTCAAGCTCAAAGAGACCTCAAGACTTGGTCCACGACCTGAGAAACCTATTGAGATTTATGAATTTGAAAGGTATAATCATTAATGCGTTTTGAGTTTAAAAGTGAGCTATGTCATCTTGGTTCATCCATCAAAATTGGTTTAAATTTCTTATGTGATCATTCTTTAAGATTTTTTAAGACTGACTGGCTGTTTTTCTTGTCCATGGACAACCGGGCTCAAAACCTTCAGTTGCCCTTTTTGCCGAAAGGTGAGCAGTCTTCCTTGTTCTCAGCTGTTTAAGAATATATACAAAAAAGCTTTAGTCTTATATCGTTATATAATAAATAGTTGATTATGTTTTACTAGTGATCTTTTATCAAGATGATTTTAGCAGCTTATTTATTTTATTTTATTTTTTTCTGAGAGCTTCTCTCATCATTTTTTATTATGTATCATTTATTAGTAACTTCTGAAATTTGCAGGTCAGGGAGATTGTTAGTATATTGGATCTTGATATTTTATTTTACCCTTGTCCAAAAAATGGTCCAAATTTCCGTCCAAAGGTTTTGCAGATGGGTGGCAAACAGCAATTTCCATACATGGTTTGCTCATTTCCTTGACCTCTGCTCTAAATTACCTTTTCAAAGATTCTGATTGTTAACCAAAACATAGTAGTACCGAGCAGAACAATATACAATTTTAAGTAAAAGCATGTTATTGAATTCTTCTTTTTATTTTTTATTTTTTGTAAAAATCTTACTCAAAATTTTGAAATATACATTGTAAATTAGGTGTTTAATCAGGGATTCAAAGCTTGCCCATTCCATAAACTAAGTCTCTACTTTTCATTATTATGATTATTCTTTTGGTGTTTGTTGGCGGAATTCCTGCTGAATAGCAAATTACAGAAATATCAAAAGTTTTAAATGCAAAGAAAAGCTTTTGCATAACTAACCAAGTGATATGGTTCAGGCATCTTTTATTCTTTGTAGTATTTGGTTAGTTTCAAAGTGGATAAATTATCAGTTAGGTCTCTGAGTTGTTGACTGTGCTTCATGTTGGTTTTTTTTTTTTAATTCTCCATTTTAACCCTCCACGTATGAGATTCTCTGATGAAGGTCATTTCATTAACAAAACTATAGAAGAGGAGAAAAGTAGAAAAAACTACTTTGTGTTTTATTGTTTAATTCTGTATGAAGTGTGGAATATTTTGTGGACTTATCCAAAATGTTTATAATGGAAATAAATCAATGTTACTAAAAAAAGAAATAATTTCCCAAGTTGGGCCAGTGGATTGAATAGAAGAGTATTCAAGATCGGAGGAGGATCAATTCAATGGTTATAACTCTTAATTCGTGTATTCAAGATCTCTACTAAGACTGGTTGACTTGTGGGTTCCACAATTGATGCAAGCAAAAATTTGGGGCTCCCCAAAAATAATTACTTTCCTAGGTAATAGAAATTATATGAAATTCCCAAAAATAGACAAAATATGACTTCACTTTTATAATTTTAAACGACTCTTACAACTCTTGACACTCACAAATTTTTGACATAAAAAACCTAAACTTGCATTCCATTTGTTGAGAAGAAGGATACAGGTGGGGTGGTCACTTGCAAATAGAAGAAAGAGGTTAGAAGACTAGACGAAGTAGAGGAGAGAGGAAGAAGTGGAACAAGCTCTCAAGCTTTTCCAAGAAAAATCTTCAGTTTTTCCATTCCAAAAATCAGCATACATCATCATCTTTTTTTGACAAAAAACACCACATATTTATAAGAGAGAAAGGGGAGACAAACAACCACTTGAAACCAATAATTAAGGGCAAGAGGCAGGCCAAAAGACACCACAAACAGCCCACAAAAAACTGCACAGAAAACAGGAAATGAAAGGCCAAGGGTCAGCCATAAAGCACCCTAAAAAACCTCTTAGAACTGGTTAATATTCACGGGACAGCAGCCAGAAACAGAACTGGCAAACATAGAAGACCCAACGGGCAACAGGAAACAGAACCGGCAAACAGAGAATCCCAACGGGCAGCCAGGTAACAGAGAGCAAATGGCACAACAAGGGGAATGAACAACATTTCGGAAACAGCATCAGAGGAGAAGAAACCGAAGGGGTAAAGAGACACAAGTCCACTCCACAATAATGAGAATACTTTTTTCATTTTATGAGCTAGGAAGTGAATTTACTCCACCAATTAATGAGCTAAACTTCAGCTTGAACATTAATGAGCTAACACCAAGTAGAAATCACATTTTAAGCTCAACACCAAGCTCAACACCAAGCCATAAGAAAGGTCGTAGTAGCGGAACCCCCACTTCGTCAACCCGTCAGTAGGGACTATATGAAGAACGAATGCCAGTTTGACTCGACCAGTTCAAGTGATCGTAGTCCACCGAATTCTCCTAAATGACTGGAGAATCAAAGTCCCAAAGGGAAGATGAGTCTTGAACAACCACTGAATGTACGAAGGCTCCAAATCTTCAACTACAAAGGATGACTCTAAATCTACCAACTTCAGTAAAATCAACATTGGGAAGCGCATTCCCTATAGCTCAAGTCTGAAGCTTGAATGGGTGTAAGAGGTCGGATCCAACAAGCCCAAATAGAGCCGGATCGCTGGCAGCTCCATCTACTCAACAAGCTATAAGAAAGGCCGTTATAGAGGAATCCCCATCTCAGTAACTAGAGGGCGAAGAGCTGTCAAATCTTAGCTCTCCTAATCCGATGAACTCAAGTGACTCAGATAAAAATCTTTTCAAGTGGTTTAGGATCAAGATACTACCTACATTCGGTACTATCAACCAAATTCAAAACTTGCAAATCTTTCAACAAATCCAAAGCAAGGATTGAAGAAAATTCTTCTTCAACAAGTCCGCCAAAGCACAAAGCAAAGGACCGAAGAAAATATTCCAAAGTTCATGAAAAGCCTAAGGTTGAACTAAGTGGATTTCGTCATTAACAAGTCCGCTATGCACAAAATTCTGGACTGATGCCTTCTTGCCATCGACCTCATATAAATCTAATGGATTTAGGTCTCTGGCATCTAACCCTTCATCAAGCCTGCCAAAGCTAGAAGTAGAGGGCAGAAGGAATACAAAATTTATGACAAGTCAGTAAAGACAAATCATATAACCCTTCTTTAAGTTCGCTACTCAGAGCAAAAGGAAGAAGGATCAAAATATCAGGACTCAAGCCTTGGATGACATCTACAAATGTCCTTAAAGACTGGGGGCATTTTAAATATTTATTTGGGTCGACATTGCACTACATGTCGAGATCCCCAAATAAATATTTAAAATTTTACCATATACAACCAGATCATAGAAGAATGTTGAGCATATACAGAAAGGCTGTAAACTAAAGTGGTCGTTGTGTTAAAAGAGAACAGATGTTGGTGATACTATCCACCATTATCAATCTACAAAGCCATGCTCTAGGGGCCCAAATACGAAGTGCTATATCACTATCCCGGGGGTCCCTACTTTACTAAAGCCAATATATCAATCATCTATGGATATATTTAAAAGAGCCGTGAAGAAGGAAAAAGTAGTGTGACATCCAAATAAATTTTTGGAGATCCACCAAATAAAAATCTTAGTGTGACGTCCAAACAAGTTTCTGGAGATCCACTAAATGAAAGCTCTAATGTAACATCTAGAACAAATATCTAGAGATCCACGGGGTCAATCAACATACAACAAATTTGGCTCGCTCTAGGCGCGTGCCACATTTGTTTGGGGGCATTTGTTGACCTGTGTAAAAAAAAATCAAATCACTTACCTGCTTGCACGTTGTGGCCATCCCGTGCACGATCGACGTCGCATCTGCCACGACTTCGCATGACTCACCTCGCGTCGCTAAATGGCCACGAGGAGGCCTTCAGCCTCTTTCCCCAATCCCGCTCTCTTTCTCGCGATCCCTCTTGCTATCTTTCTCGATCTCCCTCTCGTGTGAGCCTTCACACCTTCGACGACATTCTATTCCTGCGGTTCGGAAGTTACGACACTCGGATTGGAAGCACGACCAGAGCTCGCTCGCTGTAAAGCTTCGGCTCCATTTGTAGCTGGTTCGACTTTGCACCTTCTCCGACTTTCCCTTCCCTATTGAATCGAAAGACCGACATTTTGGTCGAAAGCGGGACGGGAGCTTGATCGTGCGAAGATAACTTTCTCTGTTTCACGCTCTTCTTCGGCCCATTCCCACTGCTCGACTTCGCTCCTCCGACGCTATCCCTTACAGCCGGATCGGAAGTTACGCATTTTGATCGGTAATTATGATTGATCAAAAAAATAATTAATAATAATAATAATAAAATATTCTCCCTTACCTTGATGTGCGTGTTGGGCCGGCAAACCACTCATGCACGCTTTTCTTTAGCATGGTGGAAGGGAACCCGGTGCAATGCCTACGACGAGGAAGGTGAGCGACCCCTCTATTCCAAAATTCTGTTCTCAGCGTTCGTGTCGAGCCGGCAAAACTCCTATGCACTGCTTTTCTCTAGCGTGGTGGGAGGGAACCCGGTGCGACACTTACGACGAGGCGGGTAGGCCTGATGCATGCTTTTTTTAGTGTGGCCGGGACAATTTTAAGTACCCGTACGTTTGGTGAAAATATGACTGTACTCGGACCTAATTTAGACTCGAATGAGCAGTGTACTTGTGACTCGGACTTGAACTAAAATAAACTCAAACTTGAATCCAAATAAACTTGAGTTTGAAATGAATTTTGAACTAAAACTCGAGCAAAATAATATAAGGCTCGAACTTGATTAAAGTCAAAGGACTGCAAGGAACTCGTACTTGAATCTGGACTCAAACTTGTAAGCCTTTTAGCAGAATTTGAACTTGATTAAATCATATGCAAGGGAACTCGACTTCAATTGAACTAAATGCAAGAGAACTCAAGCTTAAACAAACTATAAAGAACTGCACTTGAACTTGTACTCTGGACTCAAACATTAATGGCTTGAACAATTTGAACTCGAGCGAGTATTTGAGTTGGAATACGAGGGAACTCAAACTACAAGAACATTTGTATGGTCAATAGTGACTCAAATTACACTACAAGACCTCAATGCATACAAACAAAGAATATATTGGACTCTTACAACAGTCTCTACGAGATCAGGTGCATCATACTTGCAAGAATGACGAATGGTTGCAGAATGCATGGGTGTCCCCCTACATGCACTATTGAAACCTCCTACGACAACCCCTACAATGCCTGTAGATTGAGATGGCAATACTACTCCTTTGATAGTGGAAGACTCATCCCTACAAACAAATGCAATCATCAAAACCGTATGAAATTGGTGAAAGGTGGATATGATATAGGAACAACGGGTCTTCTACGAATATTTCTAGGAGGTTGTAGTGGATACAACGGGCCCTTGCAAATGAGCCATTGTGGATAACAATAGTGGGTACCTTGTAAACACAGCGAACCACTGTGGACACAAGTGTAGATGTTGCCCACATCAGAGGTGATTGAGACGCTACTAGTATGTTGGATATAAAGACAACTCGATGTACGAAAAAGGACACCTCGTGGCAGAATGGAAGAGATGTTTGAGCAAATTCGAACTTAAACTTTCTGGTGTTCCAAAATTTCTTCTCGGTTATGTACTAAGGAAGAAAACAGTTCATACATCCACAAATATCAGAAATAACAAGTCTATGACATTAAAAAGCTTGAAAGAAGTTCTCTTTAAAGCTGCGGTCCCTGATTTCAAAGTCTAGAAAGGCCTCCCGGTGAACGAGAAAGGGGAGTCAACATCAAGATGATGAGATGCCTCATGACATCCAGATAATATCGCCACCGGATCTGCAACACTTATACAAGTAGACAGAAGGCATTTATAACCTACAACGCCATTGGATCTGCAACACTTATACAAGCAGACAGAAGGTGTCTACAATCTACAACGACCGCCACCGGATCCGCAACACTCGTATTAGCGAACAGAAGATGTATATGAGCTCTCAAATGAAATGTTGTGTATTCAAATCATCAAATGGCAATTACCTGTACAACTAAAATATTTCAAAATGCCCCTACACGTGCACCATAATTTGTAAACACATAGGTACACTAAAGGGGAAAATACAATCTCGACCCGCATGGGCCCCGACGAGCTTGTTATTGGTACACATGTGACGTCTAGGGATGCTGCGCGGGTTAATTAGTGAATTCAAGTTCGAACCTAATCATTCTATACAGATCAATAGGTGTTGATAGGGTTCGAACTATATACATGGTTGTAGCGACCGGTATATTTGTTTTTATACATTCATATTAGGTCTTCAAGGCCTATAATCAAGAAAATTCACTAACAAAGGCATTAAGCCTATGAAATCCGATCATTCTAAGCAGGTAAATAGGAGTGGACAGGGTTCGAATCATCAGATAAATATACGGTCACGAAGTTGACCGGAATATTTATTTTATGCATTCATATTAGGCCTTTAACAAAGAAAATTTACAAACAAAGGCATGAAGCCCGAGAAACCCGATCCTCTGTTGACAGCTCAATAGAGTTAACAAGGTTCATCCACAAATAGAAATATTTTCAAATGGAAGTGGCCCCGACACCCCGATGATAGCCGTGCTGAATGAAGTTCTCAACCGGAGAGGATCAAAAACACTTTCAATTGCCTCCAAACTTTCACAAAATTCAAATTCCTACAAAAAGATAAGTGACTTTAACATCACCCCGATGATGACCGTGTTGAATGCAAATCTCAACCGGAGTGGTTCATTCCAAATATTTTAATAATGCCACCCAAAGTCCAAAATTCCAAAATCATCCAAATTCAGATATTTATAATTAAAAATCAACCATCCAAACACTTAAAAGTAAAATCCATCCATCCTCTACAACAGTTTGCCGGGGTGGACAAATTAAAATTAACTTAAGCTCACATAGAGCTAATGCCTAGTCGAAAATATCACTAAGATCCATTCTCAAACAATCTCCTGCTAGTAAGGATGTGATACGTGTTCTCTAACTGGCGGTTTTGCCGTCAAATGGCACCGCAGGATAAACAGTTATGACCCGGAGCCCTCTGAACCGAGTGGTTTTGCCGCCAAATGGCACCGCAGGATAAACGGTTATGACCCGGGACCCTTTGAACCTAGTGGTTTTGCCGCCAAATGGCACCTGAAATACCGGTTATGGCCAGAGCCAATACTCTCCTTAGTGGCATCAAACCCTTGAGAAATGAATCAATAGGATATGATCGATGGGGCACAAATCCCTCTGTTAGCTAAGGTGGATTCAAATTTGCCCCCTTAGACAAATATTCACTTCAGGTCTACAAGGTACCCTTGGACGAAGCAACCCATGGCTGTCGACAAGGATCATTCTGTTAGGTTGGGTTGACTACCTCCTCTGACTAAGTAGACCAGGGACCACGATGGCCCGGGACGACGGAACCATGGGATCTTGATCAGGTCCATCATCCATTCCCCCTCCATCCGCTTTAAGTGCAAGATGGTGAAATTTCTATTTTAAATATCAAACCTTGAACCTCCAACATCCAAACCCTTCAAATTCCGACCCTACCTATATCCATGCTGCTACTATATGCCAGATAACACGTATTTATATGTATCTGATTGATGACTAGCCTTAATCAAAAGTTCTCTCTCATCATCAAGAGTTGTAATTAACTATAGAGGCTTGCACCTATAGGAAACCAGAACTCAGATCATAAAGTCCTCACAAAATGAGGGCGAAATCTCTTGGTAGTGTCTTATCTACAAACTCATCTTCCTTCCAAAATTTACCCCGGAACTTAATTATGTTAAAACTCCCTTGCCGAAGAAAGATAAAGCAACAAGCGGGCGGAGGCCAAGGCCAAATTTTCGGAGCTCACAATCCTTTTGATGCAATTGGAATGGGATTTGCTTCTTTTGCTGAAACTGTCTTAGCATCCCTCTCTTTCTTGTATTTCAGTTTTGAAATCTAATGATGTTCATGAAATCCTTTTCTTCTGTCTTAAGTAAGAGGAAGAGAATAATGGATTGCTCTCACTGTCTCTTCTTATATTTAGAATGATTTTTTTCAGTAGAATGTAGCTTTTTTATTATTTTAACTCTAATATAATTTTGTATTTCTTATTTCTAGTGCAGGTTGATCCCAACACTGGGGTCTCAATGTATGAATCTGATGATATAATAAAGTATCTTGTCACCAAATATGGTACATTCAAGCTCGTTTTCTTGTCATTCTTGTCTTCAATTTGAAAATAAAAGTCCATCTTCAGACCTCATACATGAGAGTATCATACTGTAAATCATCAACTTTTTGTATGACTAGTCACATATGATACTCTGCATTTCACTTACTCTGCATTTTAGGGGAGGATGAAAACAACTAAAGATAAATATATTTCCTTGTTCCATAAGTAATTATTGATTGATTAAAATTTGTTAGTAAGGAGAGCAAAAATGGATAAAAGTGGATCATAGCACAGGTTATTATAACTTGACCTATTATTTTATTAAAATTGCTGCAAAATCAGCATTGTATGGGGCCAGATGGAACAATATTTAAATTAGCCGTCATTACTCCGCAAGATTGTTGATCCAACGTTGCCTTATTATTCAATTATAAGTACCAATGAGTAGTGATGGTTTAAGGGAACAAATGAAGGAAAAGCTTGCATCTTAAAGGCTTACGCTAGTTTATTGTGTTCTTTAGCATTGATCTGTCTTGGAGACGAGAAATTTTTTATTTGGGAATGTTTGGAAATGAGCACACTTTGTCAAATCTTTAGTTGAATTACTTATTTTTTGTAGCATCGTACTCAATAGATGTTATCCTTGCTTATTAGTATGACATATGACATATTTTTCAATAACAAATAGTTCACCTTCTGAAGCATGAATACTGACACGAGGGATAGACACAAAATGAGCATACAACGGGCTGTGGACACAAATATGTAATTGAAACAAATAATGTCAATATTTTTAAATTAAAAAGTATTACACAATGAAATATAATATCATATATAGCGCATACAAGGCTTAAAGATCAATAAAGAACTGATGTTCTAATACAATTACATAACAATATTGCATTAATTGTTTTTGACTATCAATAATAAACCAATGTTATACAACATTATTTTGTCAATATCAACATTGTATTTCCACACAAAAATGTCAAAAACTCAAAAAGAGTATATTCTTTCATATAACCACACAAAATATGACCATGTTGATGCATCATTAATTGGGCTAAATAGACTGGGTGACACGATCATTATCACAATTGACATTAACGTTATCTTTACTAGCATCCACACCATCATTGAAAAAAGCATGGTTTGGGCTTATTGAGAAGCAAAATCACCATCATTGTGTCTTAGCTGTGTCAAGATGTACTTTTAATCATATCAAGGGGTATTTTGGTTGCATTTGACTCTAAAATTAAAATAGACAAGAAACATAATTTGTAGGCGCAACATGTCAATTATGTGTCAGATTGTATCAGAGGTGTTTTTGTACTATACACATGTTTAACATGGGCATAAGACTTTTTAAAGTGTTAGTTTTTAATAAAGTACACCATATTATAAAGGTCCCAGTGGAGCTATATTATATGGTGTAGCACATATCATTTTTAAAAAATAGTTCAAATATAAAAAAAAATCATGACTAATGTGATAGTTTTATCCAATAATATTGCTGGTAATTAACCAAAGTATATCACGCAAAACTAAGGATTATGTAAATAACAAATTGAATTAGAATAGAGGAAGAAAATGAATAACAATTGCAAGAAGGAAAGAGCATAAGTAATTATTGGATTGAGGGTGAACTGTGTGGGTTTTACTATAAGCCGATGTCAAGCAACATCATGGACAAGGGACAAGGGAGATGAGAGATAATGCTACCCTCAGTGTTTCTAGATGAATAGAAACTTGTAGTTTTTTTGGATTAATTAATCAATGACGACTCATGGAGGTGATTGTGGTAGTGATTGGAACAATAGATTTCTTATGGATTGAAGGATGATTTGCATTTTTGGATCAAAGGTCACTTGCAATTTTTCTTGATGTTTGTGATTGCAACTTCTTGATTGTCAGTTGTTTTTGCTTCCTTGTTGATGCCTCACATCTTCTTTATTATGTATTGTTGATCTCCTCGTCCTCCTACTACTACTATTCCCATTGACTACTGACTAATCTAATAATAATAATAATAATAATAATGACGAATTGACGATTCTTCCTAATCCCGTTGCACTTCTCCCATAATCGCACGATCTTGCCCACCCTATACTAACATGATTCCTTCTCTCATGCTCTCTTATTCTCTCCGTATTCAATAATAACATGAAATCTTCTTCCCATGTCTCTACTCCTTGATACCCTCAACTACAAAGAAGTCAAGAAGTCATGAGAAAGGTCGCTAGACAAAGGCACTAATGACACCAATGCCTCCTTGACCCTTATTCATCACGAGATTACAATCCTCCCGTCCGCTCCTCGATAACCTTGGCCACGAAGAAGCTAGTAAGCCATGATGAATCTTGCTGGAAAAATGAACCGATGGCATCAACACCCCTTGACCCTTCTTCCTCTCTGCTTCTAACTCGAGACCAAACTTTCAATCTCCCTCTTCTCTTGTGCATGCACTGACAACCTGAACGAGACCTCATCCTATCGATGCCCCACCTCACTTTCTCCACTTTTGACATTCTTCGTCCTTTGGATTCTACTTGAAACTCGACCGCAGATATAAGGAAGTTGTGAGTGGAGTTTGCTACCAAGGCATCGACAACACAATCGAAAAGAGAAGTGCATTAGATTTGTAGATCGAAGTTCTGCCCAACACTCGTATGGAAAAAAAGAGAAAATTGTGTACTTCATTATTGCCATAAGGTCATTGTTGTGTTGTCATCATTGCCTTGCATGCAAAGTATAATGGTAAAACCTAAACATTAAATTCTCATACTCATGCATGTTGTCTGATCTGACAAGAAAAATCCAAAAAACATGCTTGTGCACGTTATTCTAATACGGTAGGGAAATTTGTGCAGGTACTTGAAGGCCTTTGCATGTTTTTCTAAGTGTGGTTAGTATGGAAACCCCAAACTGTGGTGTTCTAGGCACCGACAATGCCCATTTTTTTAAGTATGATGTGATGTTTCTATTTATCTTATGTGCAAACGAGACGGTGAGAGGTAGTTGAAATTTTTAGTGATTGAAACTTAAAAAGATCAAAATTTAAATGAACTTTTTGGACTCTATAACGCAACTTACAAAATTAAGAAATACTTAAAGCACCTCAATGCAATATACATTGTGTCAAATGAACTGCAAGAATCAGAATTGAATAAAAAAATTAAACTCATAATTAGATAATTGGCATCTTAGCAGCTCGTGTATGAACAAGAATAAAATTTGAAAGCTTGCTAACACTCGTGTATGAACAAGAATAAAATTTGAAAGCTTGCTAACAAGCATGGCCAGGATCTTTATCTGAAAATTCATAACTCTGAATTTTGAAATGAATATTCACTCCAAAAATGGCTAAGACAACTTCTGTAGTTAGAAGGGAAGAGCTACTACTATTTGAACATGAATTGAGGAGGAAACACAAGCAAAAATTTATTGTTTTAATACAAAACAAGAATTTTGATTGCCACTATCATCATTGGGTCTATGACAAGTACATGCTAATGGATAGAATGCAAAATATTGTGCTTAAAATAAAAAAACTCTGTGCACATGCCAACAACAAAATATTCGCTCAAATAGTTAATACAATAATTCGAAGTCTTGAATGTGCTTTGTAGGGAATTATTCAACTCAAATATGGCACCTCATAAGTCATGCAAGGGCTTTTAAAAACATACTAGTGCATTATGCAAGTGCACCAAAAGTTGTGCAAGAGCATTGAACAATATACAAAAGCATCGAAAGATGGGCAAATGTACTATGCAAATGCATCATGCATTTCTATTGAATAGCATACAAGTGCACCTTACAATTGCATAAAAAGATGTGCGTGTGCATTATGCAAATGCCTTGAGTTGTGCACAAAATGAATCATGAAGAGTCAATGTCATATTTAGCATATAGCTATGATTTCTCTTAAAAGATCTCACGCTAGTGAAGAGTGGCATATGTCCTCTAACTGAGTGATTTGTAGTTAAATGACATTATTAAACAATTATTATGACCATCGTGTTGTTTCACCATAAAATGATTCCATTAAATTATGATCACGGCTTAGCCCAGATGTTCTTCAATGGCCCAAGCCCTTTTAACGACGAATCATATGGTGTACTTTATAGGACATAAAGCTCTATATTAGCTAACATCAACTTAAAATTTTCCCCTTGGACATGCATTCACTTCTGGTCCACTAGATTCCCTTGGACGATACGAACCATAATTGTTGACAAGGATCCTTCAGTTATTTGGGGTTGTGTTACGCCGGCCCAGGAGGGGCCGGCTGGACCGGTCCAACCAGAACTAGTTCGGTCTACACCTAGCAGGCCAGAGCCAGGCAGAACAAGGTAGAGGAGGGGGGCGGAAGCTTTGGTGGGCCCATACATGAGTTAAACACATTGTTGGGAGGAAAAATTTGGATTAGAAGGGTGTTTAGGGAATTTGTATCCTTCTTTTAGCCTTAATTAGGGAGTAATGATAGAATTAGGTTTTCATCTTGAATTTGATTGAGAATTTGAGATCGAGGTTTCTTTTGCTTTGGGCTCTTGGCGTTGCCGGAGATTTGGAGAGTTGTTCTTCCTCTCGGATTGAAGAACAATTATATCTTTGCTATTTTACTTCATCATCTAGTGAAATACAAGTCCCTTGTGGAGTTCTCTCTCAGTTTTTCCCTTGGATTTGCTGTTGTGGACAGCAGTATTGCGACTGTTTCTTATCGATTTGGGTTAGGATTGCTTGCAAACTCAAGTATTACCTTAGGGTTACTTGCGAACTCAAGTATTTCCTATCAAATTGGTATCAGAGTGTCGATTTGGGACCTTTGGCGGCTGAAATTCGGAAATTTCAGCGGGTTTTTTACAACCGGAAGAAGATCTTTGTGATCCGTGTGAAGAGAGATGGCCGGGAAGAAGGTAGAGGTTTTGGAAGGCAAGTTCGATCAACTAAAATTAGATTTGGAGGGAAAGTTCTTTGACTTTCAAACTCAAATCGCCTCCAACAATAAAAGGATAGG